AATCATATGATTTATCGAAACGATATATAATTATTTTAGCAAAAATTGAAAGTTTAATAAATAAAAATATATTATCTAATTTTCAATTTTTCTTTCAATATAATAAAAAAGAATTATTGGATTAGTACAGTTTTTAAAGGTTAAGGTTTTCCGTTATTATTGCACCGGTTTTAGAAAAAGTCTTTCTTATGTTACAGATGTACCAATCAAAAAACAATATAGGTATGTATGATAATCGACAGGGTAGACCGATTTCAGTTCCTCCCATTCGTCTATTACGTTGCTGAACGTACATGCATTTATAACAATGGTTTCAGTTCTAGGCTTTTCGTCGTCAGCAGTCAATGCTCAATAAAAACACCTGGCGATCGGCGACGAATCTTGAATTCTAGTTCAATTAATCTAACTATAATTCACGATGCAATTGCACTGTTTATTGCAGGACAATAATCGTGTTGCCAGTGTTGCAATTAATCGTGTCATCGATAGTGTTAGGTCACTTTGGTGGTAATCCCTTTTCAAAGAACTGGATAGTCAACATTCTGCAGAACAGAGTTATAAATGTTGCAATGGGTAAAGTATTCCGCCAAATGTGACTAAGTGTGGCATGTAATGCTGCAAGACTAAAAGCTTTAGGAATTCTGCAAAACTGATCGTATGTATATGTTCTAAGTAATTATATGTTCTAAATAACTGGCTGCAGCACCAATCAATGTCGATCGATCAGACATTTGATACCGATGCCAACAAAAAAAAGCTGTAACTTCGGAAGGGGCGAACTTAGAATACACTCCAACATGTGGAACGATTTTGGAATTTTTCAAAAAAATAAAATCCGTTAAAAATTGTCTTCAAATCTTAAAAATACTGAATGTAGCCGTTATATTTGGGTTTATACGAAGACGTGAACCGGTATGAGCAAGTTTTGTCATAAGCCATTACAATATTCAAATGTCAAACTTAAAAAAAAAATCGGTGAATAATGAAGCTAAAATCATGAAAAAATATAGGGAGTTTTCCATTATATGGGGGCTATACGAAAACGTGGACCTGCACACAATTTTCTGTCACAGGCTGAATTATTCATTACGAACTTCAAATACCAAATTTGAAACAATTCAGGTGAATAATGTCGCTCAAATCACCAAATTACCGAAAATAGGGAGGTATAGAAATAAAATGTAAAGAGGAACTTTTTTAGGCCGTTGTTATTTGGATATAGGCAAATAAAATAAAACTAAATGTTCTTCCACCGAACTCCGAAAGATGTCAGTCACAACTTCGGTGGGAGTCATAATAATAACCATCTTAAACTCTACATTTAAGGCAAGTACAAACCTGTGATACCTTCGAAACATATCGTATATTAATAGAACGCCAAAAGTAAAACACATTCGATAGATCTTTATTGACGGAACGTGTCAACACTTATCTCGGCACTATTGGATCACTAGTCTTCTTGACATAAAACATTAACATCTTTCAAAATCCCACAAAATTATCACTGCCGCTTTTGCCGAAACGAAGAAATGGCTTCCGAAAATAGCATTGCATAAAAGCTCTGAAAGGTCTCTAAACCGTTTGCTTTAGTGTCAACATTTGGAACTGCGAGAAATAAATTTTCCCTACAATATTATTATTTCTGAAATGATTACGAATATAAATATGGAATTTTCCACTCATGGAAAACCTGAATTCGGATTAAAAATTTGACACAAATATTATTGTTCAGTCACATGTAGAAGTAGTCCTTTGAATTTCGATGTAAGGATGATTATACAGTGCTCTTTAATGAGATGTCCTTCGTCGTCCACATAGACAAACATTTGTTTGGAGAGCTGACATGTTTGTTCCATTTAATTTATATAAAGATACAAATATGACCTATTAACATTTCAGGTTTAATTAATGGTGATGCACTTATCAGCGAATTGAGGGATATATGGAAACCTCCTTCAGTCTCTTTTTTTAATATAAAAGTTTTCTAAATTCTCATTTACGGGTGTTTAATTTTTAAGTAGGCAATTTGACATCCGGTTATCGAATTGCCACGATAGTTCCTTATCTTACAAACAAGAAAATGCATTTCTTTCAGTACGATTTAAATTGACTTTCCTACCCCTTCACTAGTCGTAATTTTCAACTATAATTTGCATAACAAGTTGGTACGTATACTTAAAAAAAACTAATCTCTAACCGCCCCAATGACATAATCCGATTTGCAAATAAGAACATAATATGATTATTAATATTCATGAATTACCTATTAAGAATTTCATTTGAAAGCGATTAACATAATGCGAGCGAGAACTCATTGTTTGCTCCGCAATGTTTCACAAATTGCTGTAACATACTGTCTGTATGACCATTAAGTTGTATTGACAACAGTTTGGCTTTTGTTGAAACAGATACATGTCTGTATGTACGTAATTGCACAGACACATTCACATGTACGTGATGCCATTAAAAGTGTCCACAATGTTATTATCTTTTCTGGTTACACTCGGTCAAACGAGGTCCTTAGTGGTCGCCATTGTATTAAGACATTAAAGAGATACTTTTAATTAATAAATGACATGTTCCGGCGAATCCCTCGACACTGCGGCGATTCCATGCACCACTGACAACCAGCGTTTTATTACATTCATATGGTCATAATTGTGTCATTATCATAATTTTTTGTCTTTGTTTCCTTCTCTTGCTTTCTCGTGTCATTGTTGTAAGGGATAGAGGCAAAAGCAAAACAAATATTGTAAAAAGGCCAAGGGGTGGAGAGGCGGGTGAAGGACTTACCCTCCCCTCCTCCCCCCTACTACGTCTCCGGTATACTTCAGGATTCCGAATTGTTTGTTTTCTTTGTCTTAGCAAAGTAAAAATTCTTAAGTAGACAAAATTCCTGTTTGCCCAGCATTTGAGTGCAAAGAACACATCGAGGGCTTTGCCTTAAAAGGGTTGGTTTCCGTGTGTTTACCCAGGCCTCATGTGTCAGAGTAGACGTTGCCATTGGCATAATATACGTTTATGTTAGGTCACAGGCACCACAGAACACCACAAAAAAACTTTCCTAAACGTGTAACGTTTGTTGGTACTTTTGCTGGTCGGTTGTAACATAAAATCCGCCACCGACTCAGAACAAGGCAACAGTGGCCATTGTGGGCCACATTAAATGCCGAGCAGAAGAAGGTCTTTAATAAAACAGCCATAATAGTGTCATTCGAGATAACATTTTTTTCCAGGAGACAAGCATTGGTTGGCTTGTAACACGGATCCTTTAAAATGTCGCCAACTCTATTATTTACGATGGCCAAAGGACAACTTAAAGAGCACGAAAACTAAAACAAAAACAATGCGTCCACCAACAAATGCCTGAGCAGGCTTGCAAATGTTTATTTGAGAAAGGACTTTTTGTTCTATCGAGTAGCAGAAGAGGGGACGCCGTAGAGTCAACACTTACAAATGACCTTTTCATTTAAAATTCATAATTGTGAGCAGAGGAAAATGAAAAGATTTTTATATTATAAGAAAAAAATGACGAAGGACATAACGAATTACTTACATTTGTGGTGTCATAACATTCATGGGTTTGGGCAGAAGTGAAAAAAAACTTACCTACAAAGAGAAGAAAATAAAAAGATATGAAATTATTAAAAATATTTTATTATTTGAACAAGTGCTACTTTTAAATAAATCTTCCCGCAAGACGTTTTTATTAATTTGTCCTACTGTGCCTGAATTTCGTAGAAATTTCAAAAGTTGAAATTAATTTTACCTCATTATGCCTGCCAGCAGAATTGCATAATTAATTACCACTAAATTCTGTGTTCGTGTATTAGTGCGTGTGTGTGCCTGCCTGCCTCAGCTAAATTACAGAATTATCCTAATGCCCCGCACTGACGAGTACATAATTACATGCGTTACTAAGCTCGACAGTTCATAATCACCCGCATTAAAGGATTTGTTAGTATTGTTGCTGCAGCTCTCTGTTGTTGTCGCTGGGTATGTCAGGCGAATGGCGGTGTTAATTTTGCTATCAAATTCTAATAATGGCCACACGAAAACAATTATCCTTTCTAATTATGGCCAGTAATGGTTTTGATATACAAACATAGATACATACATACATACATGCATATGTATGTCGAGGACAATGAAAATGTGTAAATTAAATTACATAACAAGATCATATTTTTGGGAAGAATTGATGTCAGGAAGTATAAATCGGAATTTTATGGATTTTGTCGTGTCATTATTTTCTTTTTTTAAATTATTCTAACTTTCTTTGTTTTAAAAGTTTTAAATGTTAAGTCATTTTTTAACCTGTATTCTGAAATTCGGAAAGTGGTGAACTGCCGAATTTGGTTTTCTCTCTCGCCGATGAGAAAACATTCGTTGTCCAGCAGTTTGTAAACAAACAAAATGATCGTCTTTACTTGCTAAAGAGGCCAGCTGAAAATGTGCACCTTCGGTTGTCCACCAGTGATCGTGTGGACCGCCATAACAGCCGATGGTCGCTTCCCGCTCGTATTATTCGACCGTGGCATCGGAATAAATGCCGAATATTATCGCGAAAATATTCTGGAGGGTGTAGAGAAACAAGCAATTAAAATTCCTTTCATATTGACCCATTTGTGTTATTACTATTTACATTTATTTTTTGTATCAGTACTTCGTAGTACTTCGGAAGTATAATTTTCTCTTCGAAATTGAACTCAAATTTAAAATATTGTCATATCAATGAAAATATGCAACACCATTTTGTTAATAACTTTTAATTGGAATCTGAAAATCTATTTTGATTTATAAATTTTGAGATCTTCATTATTCAAAAGTGCATATTTCGACGTGAGTTCTTAGTGACTAATTGTTTTTTAATTGAAATATGGGATGATATCCTTTGAAATCCAGAGGTTATTTGTCCAAAAAAGAGTTTATTACATATTTTAAAATAAAATCCTTTAGAGCCACCAAAAAAATATTTTGATCCCACCGTTCATACTTACCAATTACGTATGAATATCCGTCTAAAGTCAAGACACATTTACGTGTCGTTGCGCCAACACTGCATGGCAGGCGCATTGATCGACCCATTATTGACTTGGCCAATGAGTTTTGACTGTTCGGACTTGTTTCGTCGTAGTTAAGGCTTTCACGACGTGGAGTATTTTCACCGTTATTCTCAAATTCATTTGCACCACCTACAGCCCCTGTACTCATGACACCGTCCGATGAATGATCACGCGGCGAACGAGACTCTGTGTCGATGTTATTACGCGAACGCGACCGTTTGTGACTTACAATGACATCAGAGCAAATTGCCGATGAATTGCCATCACCGAGGGAATTTCTAGATTGTATGCCATCTAAAGTCTGAGGTTTTTCCGGACGCGTCACAGAATCCATTTTATCTGTCATTTTCTCTGAAAAGGGTTTTCGGGTCTCAGAGTTTCTTGGCGGCAGATGTCAGTTAAATGGTTTTTATGTTAATTTTTAACGGGTCATTTTTCGACGTCAGACGAGAACGAATTAGTGAGGAATTTTAACGAATCGAATGTCTTTATACCATTGCTGTCGACCACACCTGATGAAGTCTTTATTTTTTACTAATTTTTCAGTCTTTTTAAAATGTTTTTAATTTGTTTGGGAGTTTTAACTAAAAATAATAAACTTAAATTATGACATAGTGCAATTAAATTAAGAAAAATATATATTATTTTTTTTTATAAAAATGTACAGAAAGCGGAATTGAGCTGCCTAATTTGTCTGAAGAATATAATATACACCATTTGAAATACATAGTTCGCTTGGCACAAGAATTCCGCATATGATTTTTTCCTTTTACAAAAACAGTCTGAAATTTACAATTCCAAGCTATTTTCATGTGGTGGGTGTTAAAGCGTTGACTAAAATTGAAAATGAATAACAAAAACCAGAGATTTGTTTCAAGTCTCATGAATGTTAGAATAGATAGATAGAAAAAAATAAAACTATGACGCTCACAAGTGAAAGGATAATATTTGAATTCATAATCGCACACCTACAGCTACAACTTCCACTTTGTGATCGCGAACATGTGTCGGCGTAAATATGCGCATATACATACACACACAAACAATGAAATCAGTCAAGTGTATGTTAATCATTGTAGAGAATTTGCATAACAAGGGCCTGTGATAAAGGGAGGGGATGTTTGGTTACGGTGGAGCGAGCCAACCGATTTTTTATAGGTTTTCACATAACTAAATATATTCCAAAATAAAATAAGGACATTTAGTTAAAAAATGGAACACACAGTTGTTGTTCCGTTTCGTGCCATGCCATTAACTCTTTATTTTCGGATTTCGTTTTCCCCTTCCATTCGTTGTCTACTGCTCAAGGGTCAGGACGGAATCATTAACATAAAGGTCAGACAAACAAATTGTAAACTTTTACATTATTGATTGGCAAGAGTTGTTTTCAAAGATTACCAAAAAAGATGAAGTAGCTTTTGATTTTATGATGCGTTGTAGACATTTCAAATAATTGCTATGGACTAAAAACTTTGGAAAAAGTTTGGGTCAGAAGAGAGAAACAGTTTTAAAGATTGTTGCAAAAGTTGAACGAATTGAATTGTGTATTTTATTTTGTAGAACTTTAAAGCTCGTGGAAAAAATCCCAAAATTAATGACGGAAAATACGTTCTGGAGTGTGCGGAAATAAAACTACTAGAATAAAAAGTTTCAAGTTCAAAATATCCAGTATTATAAATTCTCAAATTATTTGCCATACAATTTGGAAGCATACTCTTCACATGGATCCTTTTACCTTTTTCAAACAGCTGCAAGAGGCTGAATGTACTAAATCAGCAGGGAAGTCAGGTAAAGCTGAAAATATCAGCTATGTAGAATTTTCGTTGCACATATTCAAACACTAAGAAAATCGGTGGTATTACAAATCTTTGTAAATGCCGGGCACTTTTCGGTATACTGGAAATTCGTATATTAAAATGACGATTCAATCATATAAAGAGGATCCCATTTCAATACGAATCCCTTGTTTTTAAGGATTGAAATTAATGGTGCATTTAAATATTATTTTCACATATATTTCTAATATCACACGCCAATTTTTTATTTCTTTTTTGTAAGAAAATATGAACCCAAGACTGAAGCTAGCATCAATCAAAAGAGGAGTATTGTTTTTATGAGGTACGAGTATATATTACAGTAACATAAAGTCTGAAATCTTTCAAAATAAAGTCACCACATTAAAATGTAACCGTTTACTTTTGAAGTTAATAAAAACTTGTTTGTGAGGACTTTATTTCATTCTCGAATCTTTGGTGTCCGCACCAGAAAAATACCGATTTTCAACTCCAGTAACTGTATATTGTCTCAAGTGCGCTGAATAGCCCCTAAAAACGATATACACTTAAGACCAAGAGCTTATTAAATAGAATTTGTTTCCCTTTTAACCTAACAATAAACTTTTATTGGGTTAACAAATAAAAATACAGAAATCTTGTTTTTTTTTGTGTTCACAAGTTACAGATTTGACCTCCTTTGGGGAATATGCACCACTGTGCCCTTTGCTCTATAGAAAATAATCAAAAAGAAAGACACATCTGCACATTTAGTTAGACACACACCCACATACACGCTTACACACAAGCACACACACATCGAACCACCACTTGTACACGAACACTTTGTGTCTTCTGCGACTATAGTTCGGTTGGTTGTAAAGGATTCGAGCGTTTTCACCATAAAATATGTTTACAACTATTAAACGACGGTCGAATGCTAACAAAGCTGAACTGAGCCGAACAGGGCTGCAGCATGTATTTTGGAAATGTTCCAATTTTCGTTAAATCTATATGTATATTATCCATCTATCTCTCTCTATATATAAAACCAGTAGTCTACGTGCCATTTAAGGAAAATCGATAAATTTAAATAGAAAAATATTTTCATTTTTCTTTTACCTAAGCTAATATGCATCCCCTCGTATGCACTGCTGCGTTCCCAGCTTTATAGCGAGGTGGGGCGAGGGGGTCGTTTATGATTCCAAGTCTGCTGTAGAATATTCCCCCGAGTGTACTTCCTTCAACTTGTAGTGGTACGTGAGGTATGAGGACAGCAGACCGAGTGAATCGAGGTGACATTGTCGTCATTGTCTCCGCACACACAAAATCGAAAGTTTTACATTTTTCACTGGCACAGAATTTCATTGGAGATCTAACTCCTGCTCCACGCCAGAACGTACAGTTTCTTGGCAATTCTCTTTTTGTTCGATGTTTTCCCCAGGTCTTTCAAGTAGAAGAATAAATACGAAATTCAAAAAGATTGCCACGTAATGCTACCGAGTTACAGGGCGGGTGCGGGTGCGGGTGCATGAGGTGTGCGTGTGTGTAAGTGTTGAACTATCACACAGACTTGTGTTCGAAAGACATGCAAGATAGTGACTGACTAACAGACTGACTGGCATGAATTATTAAATTTGTACATATTTTTTAATTTCTTTCGTTCACATAATTGCCGAGAAGACGTTTTATCTTCCAAAGGGACCATTTTACTAATCCAATTTGTACATTTTGTTTTAAGGTACATCTAAATGTGGATGGAAAGGACACGTTAACACTGTTGACAAATATAAAGTTTCAAAAGAAAATATATTTGGCATTGACCCGAGACAGAGACACTTCAAACGAATCACTCAAATGACGTCTTCTTTTTTCGAATATGAATTTGTTGTGTCTGTGATTGTATCCTTATCAAAGGATAACGAGTATCACAAATATCACATATATTTGGTTTTAATTGGTGTATAAAAACGAAAAGGATTGTGAACTGAGGAATTAGATGTGATTTATTTTGCAACACATTATTATATGACAATTAATAACGGGAGACGTTTATGGTTATGAGATGGATAGGACGTAGAATGACTTTTCTTAAATAACTACCCTATATAGAATGTCGGTGTATGTGTTTGATATCTCAGTAACAAGCTGCACTTTCTACGTTTTGAAAGGTCAATTACATTTACTGTTATACCAATTCAAATAAGACCTTTGGAACATTTTGAAATATTCGTCGAATGCCCCATATAGTATATAGCAGCCTACAATGTTTAGTTAAATTAATAATGCCAGTACCTATTTATGCCCTTCTGTCGGGAATCTAGATAGAGGTTACCATGGCACAATTACAGAAGATAGAACAAAGCTATCTCCTAAATACATATTTTTTCTTTTGGTGCTCCCATTCTGTCAATACATACACAGTTTGTATATATATGTGTGTATTGTTTTGATTAAAAAAGAAAATGATTTGAAATTATTTCAAATTAAGAGACAACGGAAAGGCATGTTTTGCACGTTAACAGGCAACAAAATGTATAATTTTGTGTTAAACAATCTTTTCCAATTATCTTGGATGCATTTTTTATCTGACACAATGTTGTTTATATTCGGCATTTGGAAGGTTTCAGCCAAAATTTCCAATCAAAATGTGAGTACTTTGATGTTGTATAGTTTTTGGTCTTTAATAGTTTTAAATAGATATATATTAAATTGAGATCTATTCTATTTTTCCTAGCGATTTCTGCCCGTCTGTCTGGTGAGAACTATAAATCTCGACGCGTGTATCGGAATTTGGAACAAGGTAAAATTTCTATAAAACTTCGAGCTTGGATATGGGCCTATTTTCCCACAAGAAGTCAAGATTTAAACAAGTAAGCAAAGACTATAGCCGTGTGGGGTCGTCCATGTGTTACCCTACACTAATACAATATGTTGGAAGCCTCCTAATTTGGAAGATTTCGTCTTTAAAATGATGTCGTGGAGCCCTGCCCTGATGCTCCCCTTAGCTTTTTCATTTTTGACGATTGCGACCTGTATATAATACCCTGTAGAAAAACTTTATAAAGAACACAATTCAAAATTGTAAGTCAAATTGAAAAAATCGCATGCGATAAAAAATTTAACAAAAATTGATCATATCATCGCGATTTTCTTAGATTTAATACTTTTCTTGCAAGACCATTTCGAATCTAACAGAATTGCGAAAATCTATCCCGCGGTTCTTGACTTATAAGCGAATAATGTGACTTTTTAATTTATTTTTTACTTGACAGGGTTCGTAATTTTTATATAGAGTTTATAGTTTATTTTACCCGGTAAAGATTGCACGATGACCGTCCAAACTTCAAACTCTAAGTCCATGTAAAATTCCGCGTCGATTGGTTTATAATTTTAGCAAAATCAGGATTTTTTCTGTTTTTGGTCTATTTCATCGCAAAAACAATAGGCTTCTATTCTAATCCGAACCCCAACTCCATTTTCAATTTCGTGAGAATCGGGCCATAACGCCCACTTGTAGCGTGATTACAAATTAACATGGACAAATAGACGGACATACATAGCTAGATCGACTCAGATCGGCTAGAAAGGAAGATCCATATTTACATTACTATGTTGGAGGCCAATATTTCGGCCCAATCAAACTTATAATACCGGCAACACATAGTGTCGTAGGGTATAAAAAAAATTAATAATAATTTATCTCATAAAAATTGAAGGGTATAACTAATTTCATTCAAACTTTTCATATCTTAATTTTAGAACTTCTTTAAGTCGATGATAAAATAA